CCTCTCTCTCTCTCTCTCTCACCTTCTCCCAGCACCACTTTGCTAGATCTCCTCCTCTTTCCTCCCCTAACCTCTTTTCATATCCCCATGCTCTCATTCCCGTCCTTCCTCTCATTTTTTCTCTTATAAGTTCTTCTCTTATCATGTATCCTGGTGTGTTCCATCCCACACCCATCATCCATCTTAAAAGTATTTGTCGTGCATCCTCTCTACCTCTTCTCTCTCCTTCCATCCCCATATTTCCACCCCATAGCCTATCACCGTCCATACTAGTCTGTCAAAAAGCCATAACCTTCTCGCCCAATCCCCTCCAAATCTTCTTTTTCCTATCCCCCATACTTCCCTCATCACCACAGCCCCTTTTTTCATCCTCTCTCTTATGTGCTCCTTACTTCTTCCATTTGCCGTTACTACGTAACCCAAGTACGTGAATTTTCTTACCTCCTCTAATTCCCTTCCCTTCCACATCCATCTAACTTTCTTCCACCTTCCCCTTCTTTTCCTGCATCTCATCACCTTCGTCTTTCCTATATTCACTTCTAACCCTTTTTCCTCCATGTACTTCTCTAACCCTTTTATCATCCCTTTCATCCCTCCTTCATTCTCCGCTAACACTGCTATGTCGTCCGCATACGCCATCGACCAAATGTTATATATAACATTTCTCCTTGTATTGTTTTAATTTCGTTCACCTAAGATCATGTGACGGCTCACATTGCCCATATTACCTTCTATTATTTTAACTATCATAACTCTTATAGAAGATTACAATTGATTATTTATACAGAAAATACATATTAATGTGTATTACTGTAAGTAAATGTTATAAACTGTAAAGTGTAAATAAATACCTGATTACTTTTCGGTAAAACACATTTGTATTTAAAAAATTATAATCTACTGATCGGATTTGAAAAATCAAGTTTTAAAAACTTTTTATCTCTGTATAAAAATCTTGTAATGCTGTCAACAGAATTACAGATTCGTATAAAGAAGATTAATTATCCTAGAACTTTGATTAATTCGATTTTACGTTCATGGCTTTAACAGTAATTTTATGTACGTGATTTCGTAGACAATTGAAAAGACAAAGTGTAATATAATTTTCTTAGATATTTTTATAAGACGACCAAGAAACATAATGACCAAGGACGCAATATGTGTGAGCGCGCACGTGTTGTGTATGTGAAATAAGATCTACTATAATACCTTCAATTCCAAAAATGTGTAACGAAAAGCGAAAGGTTGTGGCAATCGTTAATGCAACCAAGTGGCAAGTTTCGAGCAATTGTGATTATCTCTTTCTGTATTATTTCGTTCTACATACAATAGCTAATATCAATCGGTTTTTAATCGCTTTCTTCCGGTTGACATTCCTTAAAAACTTTTACTATAACTTCTCTAACTTTTAAAATATCAAAACTTGGTGGTTTTATATAAAAAGGGAATTTTTAAAGATAGAAAATAGTTACATTTCTGTATAAACTGTACCTACCAGGATGATTGTGTAACTTATAGCGCGAAGACTAGTTTTCTTGAAGTAACTTCTTGATATTCAGTTTTTTTAAATAAGTAAATAAGTTTCAAGAAGTTTGAAATTTGAAGAAATATGAATAAATTGCAAATAAAATCATAAATGCAATACAGTAGAACCTCGGTTATACGGCCTTCGATCAACCGAGGCTCCGCGTTATCCGAGCCACCGGACTTATCCGAGCACTCCGCGTTAATCGAGGTGTGCGCTCGGATAATACAGAAAAACTCGGATAAAACGGATGACGCCGCTATGCTGTATGCGCGGAGTAGTTTGCGATTGCAACATACTTTTTGCTTAAACAAGCATAAATTTTAATCTACGTTCGTTAAATTTTTACTTTTTTATGTTCATGGGGTTAAATTCCATTGTAGCATTTTAAATAAATAAAAATAATAAAAGTATTCGAATTTTGTGTTTCTTCCGCGTTATTCGAGTTTTCGCTTGTCCGAGGTACCCCCTCCCCACATTACCTCGGAGATAAAAGAGGTTTTACTGTAATTAAACATACATAAAATATGGTTGTACGTAGAATGTAGTATAATTTCTCTCTTTCATTATAATTTTACTTGTATAAAAACAATGCAAACGTTTTATCTAATTACTCTTTACTTGTTTTTCTTGTTTTTTTTTATACAAACAGAAATTATACAAGAGAAAAACACAAGAACATATTTTAAATCTAATTATAAATATATATTTAGTATATGTATGTATATACTAAATATATATTTATATACTGTATATATTTATATACTGTAAATATATGTATATACTGTATATGAAAAGTTTTTTATCGGAATGATAAAATTCTCTTAATTTTCTTCTGTTATACTCTAATATTACTTTGACATCTTTTATGTTATCTTGAGAAGTAAAATGCAAAAACGTTTACTAGTTAGAAAACTTTTTACAAAACATTTCTTAAAAATTGGATACATTTTATTAATCAGTAATCGATCTGCGTGCAGAAAAATACACATATTGTCCTATCGAAAGGTCAGTGAAGGTGTCGATAGCTGACACAACTTGAATATTAAACGCACGTATTACATTTTCGTGCTTTGTCGCTGATATGAACAAGCAAGATGTTATTCGTTTGTCTGAAGGCAACAATCGCTCGGAATAAGAATGAGGATAATAGGAATTACAAATGAAACGAATGCCGAGATGATTCTAGATAATACATTTATCTGATATTTGTTTAAAAACACCATTTCCTTAAAACATTTTACAGAATTGAGCATGAGAATAAAATGTATATGTATAATTTTAATAAAGAAAATATTATAAAACGGAGCAATTAATTTTGATTGCTTTTTCTTCTGATATAAATTGTCAATATTAAGAAATAGGAGAAATTTTTCTTCGTTTTATTTTTGCAAATAAAAATACCTCTCTCTTTGTTTTCAGGTACCTATGAGTGAGACAGATTTTAACATACTGTGGATGGGAAGTCATCCAAAACCAGATATTTTGCGGAATTTGATGCCTTATCAAAAAATAAACCATTTTCCTAGGTAAAGATTACATCATCGAGACAGTTTCTGTAATTCAAGATAATACTTTTACTATAAAAAATCAATGGCAATGAAACACAAATTAAAGGCCTCAGTTCAAGATGGATATAGTCGACTTACATTTCAATACTCTTTTTGTTGTAAAACTTAAGCAAATTTACAATTTTATTAGCTTTATAGGTAATAAAAAGCACATTCAAAAAGTATGTTTTTTTAGAAAAACTTAAAAATTAAGAAATATCAAAAAAGAAACAGAGGGATAAGAAATCTCTTATGATACATCCTTGTAAAAGGCGCCAATTCCACGTCAGAACTGCTGCTTTGGATTTGACTGAAGACGCCTGTAAAAATGTTGATACAAACACCAATTACAAATCTAATCTGGATATTTAGATAACATTTATATTGCAATTGGTTTTTTCTATTAAAGCTTTACTTTGAAATGACATAATTAATGATATGTTTCCATTTTTCCCCAAAACTATTGTTGTCATGTAATAGGGGTAAACTAATGCTGTTATACAATAAATATTATTAAACAAAATATTTTTTATACTTTGCGATAATGTTAAAATGAATATGTATATTACGCTGAATATTTTTATGTACGAGTATATCAAATTTTATCAACTCCTTATTTTAATTATATTTGACTGGTACTGTTAAAAAGTAATTTTTCCCCAAGTGGAGTTTCTTATTACATCCTTCCTGAATTGAGGCTATCAATTTTTTTAACCGATTCGAAAATATTTATTTAAATCTTTGTAGAACGCAATAAAAACTCTAAACAGATATCCAGATGGAACAGAGAATACAAAAAGTATTTTTTTTAAATTCTCGAATTTTGAAATAAATTCTTTTTCCATCTTATGTCTGTTCTAGAAATAATCTTAAAAGTTTAAAAAGATTTCACTTTTATGTCAGCATTTCTGAGCTCGTTTTTGGATATATAATAAAAGGAATTCTTTCTATACTTTATATGTATACATATAAGAATTTGCACCGAAAAGGAATTTTCAAATTCATTGTGAATAGATTACTCGAAAGAATCATAAAGAATTTGAAAAAGTAAATCCTTTTTGAGCTCAACAATCATCTATGCTACTTGAGATCTTGATTTGATATTTCTTAAAAATCTTATTTCTTACAAAATAGGTCTTACGAAATTACCCGTAAGGATCGCCTCTACAAAAATATCGAAGCTATGCAGAGGAGTAAAGGCCTTCGAAATCTTGATTTTATACCTCAAACATTTCTACTGCCTACTGAAGCCAGAGAATTGATTTCGGCGCATTTCAGATATAGAGGCCCATGGATCGTCAAGCCTAAGGCCAGTTCGCGAGGCCGTGGCATTTACATTGTCAATAATGTAAGGACACGCTTTAATATTTTATAAAGTCTTTACTCCTTTTTAAGATGTGACACATCAGGAAATTATTTAAATTGCTGTTAAGTAAAAGCCTTAACTAAAAGTAATCTTTTATAGATATTTGCAAAGTTTATTAATAGAGGTTGCTTGTAATTTATCTCTAGAAATACCGATGCAAGAATTTTATCAATTTTATAAAACACAGATTTAAATACAAAAGACAAGTTTATTTAATAAATTATTAATTATTATATAGGGGATGATTTACGAAGTTTTACCTCCACTTAAGAAGAGTATTCCTGAGCTTCTAAGCAAAAAGCATTCATATACAAATGGAATGTGATTTATAAAGAGTTACACTAATTTAAAAATTGGAGAAAAAAATAATTTTTTAATAAGTTTAGTAGAATTTCGATTTTAATTACGAATGTTGCGTGTTCAATGTGTTTAATATTTAAATCGAGCAATTTGCTGCTGTAATGACATAATTTCTTGAGGGTTTCAATTAGTCAATATAAATAAATGTAATCATAAAAAAATATTGTTTACCTTAATGCTTGGGATACATTGAACTATATATACACAATTTACTTGATTATTAATTCAGTTTTTAAATCGATAACTTTACGAAGCATGTAACACTACTTACAATCTGTATTTAATTTTTTACTATATTGTTGTAGCCTGAGAAGATCCTGACAGATGAATCAGTTATTGTGGCGCAATACATAAATAATCCGCTTTTAGTCGATGGACATAAATGTGATTTGCGTCTCTATGTAGCTGTAACAAATTACGATCCTCTGCTAATTTATTTATATGAGGAAGGTTTAGTGAGGTTTGCAGCTGTTAAGTATGATAGTGGAAGTCAATATATTTGGAATCCTTGCATGCATCTTTGCAACTATAGTATAAACAAGTTCCACGTGGATTACGTAAAGTAAGTTATAACGAAAACAGTAATACGTAATTAAGATGAAACTATTTATCATGTACATACATAAGTAAACATATTTTATATATACAATATGTTTCAGACCACCCGTCCATCCCTTTTAGTTAGAAAAATACGTATTTTTGAAAAATGTGTTTCACAAAAGTTATAGGGCTTTTTAAGTGACAATATTAGTAGACAATATTATAACTTACGTGGCAATATTAGTATAATCTTGAATAAGTTTTATCTATATAAGATCTCGTAAAGATTACTTAGAAACTTTTTATCACATATTCTTATAAAATTGATGCTGTTATCTGGCCATTAGGAAATTGCTGGCATACATATACCGATCATTGTCTGCATGTTACTTCAAATATTGGTACATCGAAACCGTTGAAAATGAATATGTGAAAAGTTACAAGCATTATAAGCAAACCTAAGTTTACCCAATTTTGCCTAGACACATTTACAATTAGCTATAACGCTGTTTAAGATCATGCTACTATTGCTGTGTAATACATTACTTAAAACCCTACAACTTTTGTATAAAACATATTTTTGGAAAATGTTTATTTTCCAAAATAAAAGGAGTGAACGAGTGTGTGCGTGTGCGTGCGTGCGTGTGTGTGTAGAGCAACAATTTAACTAATCAAATGTACTAAAGTTTCGCAAAAGCTTTTCAGTAAAACTTGCTAAGACATTGGTACACTCTTTTGCTCGTTTTTGTCTGATCAAAAAGTTTCAAACAATTATTTCTTTCATTTTCGGTCGGATTAGATCTTTCTAGTCTAATAATTTTTTTAAATAAATTTATATATTACTTTTTCCACTTAGCAAACTACACACTGGTTATTTGTCTGTCTCTTTCTATAGATATAAATTACTACAAAAAATAAGATAACAATTCTTTCTATTTACTTATGAAATATTTTTTTATTATAATGCAAAGAATGGAAAAGCAAAGATATAATAAAAGAGAGAGAATAAAATAAGAGAAAGTGAGAAAATTAGGAAAATTTAGAAATGTATGCACATAATTGAGTAAAATGTTGTCCTAAAGACACTGTACGTAAAAATATTTTATATGATATAGGAGTGAAGATCCTGATGCTGAGGATGTAGGACACAAATGGACATTGTCGGCATTACTCAGACACTTACGCTCGATAGGTCAAGATACAGAATCCCTTATGCAGCAAATAGAAGATATTATTATAAAGACAATTCTTGCCACTGCATCTGGAATTGTCAGCGGTTTAAAGCAGTTCGTAAAACATCCTGAGACGTGTTTCGGTAATAATTTAGCTCGAATAGCATCTTCAATGTTTTAACGCAGCACATAAATACATATAATATAAAACGTGATTTATATGCACAAATACGGTCAAAAGGAAATTATTCTTAATGTATCTTAATACATAATATCACTGAAAAAGAGATTCTTTTGTGAGAAGCATTTGATTATAAATCTTGATTATAATTATAAATCTGATATTATAAGAGGTAGAAATATAATGTTTTATATTATACATCAGTATGTTACACATATATTACACATATGCGTTTTTATTCTAGAGCTATTTGGCTTTGATATATTGATTGATGATACGTTGAAGCCGTGGCTGTTGGAAGTAAATTTAACCCCCTCATTGGGATGTGATTCACTACTAGATGTTAAACTCAAGTCAGCTTTAATAGCGGACTTACTTACTCTCGTCGGTATAGTTGCTGTCGATCCAATCCTGCGCTCTCAAAATTTAAACCGTGCTGCCGTAAATTCCAATAAAAAGATAACTAGTGTAAGCTACCTCGCTTAATTTTTCCCTTAAATTATTCATATTTTTTAACTTGTATTTGTATAGAATATAGTCATGAAATATTAAATTCTTTATTAAGTTAGGATTATATTTATTATTCCAATTATAAATATGGTAAAAAATTAACGAATTTCTATTCCTAATAGATAAAAATATTAAGTAAATAACATCATTATTTCATCATTAAAGAGTTGACATTTTTTTGTCTTGTAAAATATGAAAACTGTAAAGTTGTAAACTACCAAATACATTAAATATAAAGAAATTACAGTTAACAGATTGTGGGCAGATAGTTGTTTTTTGTTTTAGTACAGAAGAGTGCAGTCCGCTGAAACATTATCTCAAGGAAAGAAGAATATTAATAGAAATAATAAAAACAAAGCAACTCTGAGCACTTTAAGCTCAGAGCAACAACGAATAGTAGCGTCTGCGAAAGCGCAATTTGAGAGAAGAGGCGGATTTGTTAGAATATTTCCAAGTCCAAAATCTTGGGAGCTCTATTCGCAATACTTGGGTAAATATAATTTTCTCTTTTCGAAGTAAGTGAATTGCAAGAAACCATTTTCTAAAACCAACTGCAATATTCCTAACAGTTGACTTATCCATTTTATGTCTTAGATTCAATTACAGGTGTACCAATGATATCAGATCCACTTGGTCCAAGGAGATTACCGCAACATACTAATACTAATCATAATCTGATGTTGCATGAACAATTGTTTCCTGCAGCCAATCGCGTTACCGGCTACATTATTCCAGAAGTAACATTAGACAGATTATCTAGGTACGTTGCATTATACATTTTTATTTCACGTGACTATAATTATAGTTTCTACCACATTATTATTCATCAGAATTTTGCGCATTACTCATTGTATAAGCAGACAAATTGGTAAACTTTCAACAATATATTACACTCATCTACGATGACTTTGATCGTATGTTATTAAAATTATGATCTCGAATAATATCAAAGTCGTCATAGATGGATACATTGTATTGAGTATTTTTTCAAACTTTTACAAGTAAGATTATACAAAACCCATTATAAAAAAGTTTACATATCATATAGTGAATATACAAACAATGGAAACAAAATAAAAAGTAGATATGGATATTATAAAAATAGATTATGATGCATTTTGCTATAGTTATATAATATACAGGGTTGGAAAGTAACTTTATAAAAGTACCTAGTTACAAGTACAGTTACAAGTTACTTAAAAAGTAATGAATCGTTACTGTGCCGTTACTTTTTGCAATGAAAATAAAAATATCATATCTTCGCGCAAATGCAAGGCCTAAGGCAATCTGGAAAGATTTAAAATATAGTAACGATTATAAATAAAGTAACGATTAATGTAACGAATTAAGTCAGTTACTGGTTATCGAAAAATGTATCTAATTGTGAGTTAAGTTATAGTTACAGATGGAGAGAAAGTAACAAAGTTAAATTAGAATACCAAAAAAAAGTAACTAACTGTAACTTTGTTACAAGTAATGAGTTATTTCCCAACCCTGTATGTATGTATATGTATATGTGTGTACGAGTATGTATAGCTATAATCTCATAAAAGTTATTAATTGAACATTTTATTGTAGATATGAAAGATATGAAAGAGCATTGGTAAAGGGCTACAAACAAAGCTTGGACAGAGGAAATAATAAAGAGAATGTAGATATAGATATGTACAAATATAAAAGCCAAGTAATACAATTGATGCAGGAAGGCAATAAACTTAGGTTTGTTATAAAGATTCATATGAGGAATTTAAGTTAATTATTTAAGTATTATGAGTATCACCAGACTACAACAATAAGAGGATTATATCGACGATAACTGGCACAGTATATTTTCAATTAATACACGACGTTTCGACCAGTAATACTGGTCCTTCTCAAGTATCACCCATTAGATGTGACAGCAAGAAATCTAGAAAAAGTTACATTGTGTGAGCGAAAATACAAAAGGTGAATTTTTAAAATATAAGTACGCAACAATGTCGTTAAAACTTACAGGTGATGTATCAAAGAATACGATTGTATAGAAGTGCATAGTCAAGAAATGGAATCACTCCGCACAGTAAGGAATATCACGTAAAAAACTTACCTTTTTAAAAAAAAAGGTAAAGAGCACCAAGTATAAGCTCCAATTCAACCGAATATATTTTGTTACTCTATCTTTTTTGCAAAAGTATATTCTCTACAAAAATATCTTCTCTACAAAACTATCTTCTCTACAAAAGTAATGATATCAACAAATTGCGCCAAATATAACAACGGATATTTATACAAACTAGTAGCTTTAGTATTAGTTTTTGATTAAAAAATGTTATATTTCTTAAAAAATCAAACTAAAGATTTTATTGGAAAAAATAATGGAGTTAATAATAAAACACCGATGAAAAAAATAGCAACTGTTTAGAAATTTAGAAACTCGGTGTCTATTCAGGCGAATTAAGGCCTGTGTCCATGATGCTAGTACTTGGTCCAAGTTCTAGTTTTGAGAATTGCGTAGCCAATCAACTTGCAGCTTTTGTGGAACAGCTACATTGATTGGCTACATATTTCGCGGAATTAGAACTTGGACCAAGTACTAGCGTCATGGACACAGGCCTTAATTCGCCTGAATAGATAGAGTTTCTAAATTTCTAAACAGTTGCTATTCTTTTCATCGGTGTTTTATTATTAACTCCATTATTTTTTCCAATAAAATCTTTAGTTTGATTTTTTAAGAAATATAACATTTTTTAATCAAAAACTAATACTAAAGCTACTAGTTTGTATAAATATCCGTTGTTATATTTGGCGCAATTTGTTGATATCATTACTTTTGTAGAGAAGATAGTTTTGTAGAGAAGATATTTTTGTAGAGAATATACTTTTGCAAAAAAGATAGAGCAACAAAATATATTCGGTTGAATTGGAGCTTATACTTGGTGCTTTTTTTACCTTTTTTTTAAAAGGTAAGGTTTTTACGTGATATCACCTTTTGTAGTGTGTAATATCTCATACTGTACTCTTTACTTGGCACAAATATAATTTAACAAGGTTTTCTGAATATTGAATTGTAACGTTTACAAGACATTACAATTCAGCGGCCATTAGACATTTTTGCAATATCTTGTCAACGTTGAATTTACATTTCGTAACATTGATGTAATATTGCAATGCTGTAATGGAATGTTTCTGAGACGTTGATTCAACATTTGTGTGTTGTATGGGAATGCGAGTGCAATTACACAACTCTAAAAAAAAAATTGTCTTTGTCCTAAAATTTATTTTATGAATTTTCTATTCATTATGTTTTAAAATAAAGGAAAAATACCCATATTCCTTAAAAAGTTTGCTTTTGTGGTAGTTATGATAATAAATCCTTTTTCTTGAGTTATCATATTAAAAAAGAGTATTCAATAGTTCTGATGTTTTTAAAAATACCGCGAAAAAATAAAGATGGCGTAACTGTCACACATCTACAGATGTCACTTAAGTGATAAACAACAATTAACTGTTTTGTAGAAAAAGTAATAGGGTTCACTTTTAAACTTTTTTCTACTATTTTGTAATTTTTGTAATTTGATATGATATTAAAAGTTGATAAAAATTTATATATAAGTATATTTGTTTCGATTTATTTATAAATAAAAATTTAAACTATGGATTTTCTAAAATATTGATCAACCGTTCTCCTGGATACAAAAGCAAACTTTTTCAGGCCATATATTTTTTTTTGTCTAACTTATCGATAAATCTATCGAAATTTCATACTCTCTTATCAAAGTCAAAATTCGTGTTGACCTGTGTTATCGTTAAGCTATTTTTGTCGAGTATATGTAAAAAATATATGAACTCTTCGTCTCGACGACGAGTGGGGCGTCTTCTTTCCGTCTCCTCGTCGCGATTTCTCAATAGGAGGCAAGGGAGAGATCTCAGCGGAACGTTCAAGTTCCGACGGTTTACGCAAACGATTTTTGTAACAATCTTTTCTTCTTGTTTTTTTTCCCTATCATCGCTTGAGTACTCTCCGCGAGTACGCTTTCCGCACCAGCGATCGAGTTCAGATCTACCTCAGTCTGTTTAATTTTTTTGTTGCTAAAGTTCTAAACAGTAAGTAATATACATGCTATTGCGAATAATATTATCACAGCCCCAGTGGTCGAGCTGGCTAAGACGCCCGTCACGGATTTGAGAGGTCCCAGGTTCGAATCCTGGCTGGGGTAATAGTTTTCGCAATAAGAATCTTAATTCAATAGGGGAAAGGGTAAATTTATAATGCTAAGTATAGCATTAAAATTAAATTAAAATAATTTGAAAAAATCGCTCTGCGATTTTTAGAACACGTCCGACGTCGAAATGATGTCGAATCGACGTCAATTCGACGGTGTCGATGTCGATTCGACGTCGTTTCGACGTCGATCGACGAATCATTTCTCACTGGGGTGAATTCACTGACGATAATGATCCCACCTAGGCGAAATCTGTGTTATATGTCCGATAGTAACGGCGCGCAGTACAGGGTGGGATAATACGGTATATGATTCACATAGCAATATAATGGCCACCACCTTGTCAGGTCCTAAAAATATGGCGTTTAAGTTTCAATTTGATTTATATCAAAGGACCAAGAAAATATTATTTGTAACTTATTCAAGGTCCTAATACATGCACATAGTCCTGGAAATACCATCTGTTAGGAAACAGCGAGAACTTTTTCAACGTCCTAATACTTTGCGCGAGACGCTACGTGAGATACGCGACAGCAACGCCAATGCCACGTTGCGGCAGAAAAGTGAAAAGGACGCTGGTCTAGTCGACGACGAGGACGAAGACGAGGACGACGACGACGACGACGACGACGACGACGACGACAAAGATGTTTCTTAATCCAAAATTTCACAAAACTGACTTTGCATTGCAATACCTCCACTCCTGGGGCACATAGGAGAAAAGTAAAAACACTTTTATTATGCAAATCGTACCCAAGCTATCGATTAAGCGCAGTCTCAAGTTCGTCGGATCAGCCGTTGTTGAGATCCGAAAATCTGAGGGCCTGTCAACTTGTGTACTCGCGTAAACTTACACGGTTGGTCTCGCACGCGTGTACTAGCTACGCTTACACATGGCGCGAGACACTACCGTGTCTTGTGATAGAGTTAAAAAATTAAAAACAATTGAACTACTTGTCAAAGTGTCAAGCGTTGTCAGCGTTTGAAAGGACACTGAAAACGTTACAATGTAAAACAGTCTGCGTTCGTCCGACAGGTCACAAAGTAAGAGACACGGAGAGGACAAATAAATAACTAATTATATAAACAATTAAATAAATTAAGTGGTGCGTACAATCTTGTCATATATAGAGCTAAGGTTGTCGGTATCTTGTTGTAAGTTGATCGTATGTTCAAGAGACTTCTTAATGTAGAACATTTCAGCAATTTCTCGTTTTTTTAAGTGTGGCTCCATGTGTACAATTACCGGATTATCCCAATCAAATTCGTGTAACCATATGTCTTTTAGTTTGGCCAATGTATATCGCATCACAATTGTAGATTACTTGCTGTCACATCTAATGGGTGATACTTGAGAAGGACCAGTATTACTGGTCGAAACGTCGTGTATTAACTGAAAATATACTGTGCCAGTTATCGTTGATATAATCCTCTTATTGTTGTGTTTTACTCACTGGCGATTCACCTCTGACTATTATCACCAGATTAATTTGTTTTGTTTATTCTTCTCTTTTTTTCCACCACGTATCAAATCATATTAACGATATTCCAGTTCTGGTGAAGCGAGGAGAGCCTTTGGCTTATATCTAGGTTATATATTACGAAAAATATCGCAGCCTAATGCAGATCCGGGATGTTATGATCTCGTTATGAAGTTTCTCCAACATTCATCCTGCAGTTTAAGAACACCGTTTTTATTTACGGTATGCATAAATGACAACTGTTTATACCTTGTTACATAGAATAAAATTATCTTTCAAAAAATTACTTAAAATATTTCAACAGTGGCAAGTCTAAATTAAAGTAATTTGCTTAAAAAGTATCAGAAAAACAAAACAAATTTTTGAATTTTCTTCTCATAAGTAAAAAGTCCAAAAATTTATAATTTTGTATATGTAGTAATTGTTATTATTCTATTATAATTTCTACCGTGTTTTATATAAATATAATATTTCTTAAAATGTGAGATACACTGTACAGTCATTCCAAAATGCTTGTCCTCAATGATTGCTATGATTAAACCGGTTCTAATCAAATGGCACATCAAATTAAAATTTACTTTAGTTACTAAACTTGTTTCTATAGCTTATACAGAGTGTCCTAAAACCACCTAATATCATTTTAATCACAGATTCTTTAGAAAATTTTAAGACAAGAATTCTAATACAAAAATGTCGAAGTTCCTATGAATGTCATCCTTCTTATTTAATTCAAGTAGAAATTTGCAACGTGTTGTAACTTCAAAGTGTTGCAGCTGCCAAAGTGGCCGATCAATATCAGTTACCATGAAGGTTGTTACTGTGCTAAAAAGGGCGACATTCATATGAACACTCATCACTTGTCATGTCGCCGTGCCTGAGCGCGCGAAATCTCAGACCTATCATTTGTAAGATATAATCGCTTATTATTTAAAAACTATTATAGCCTCGACAGTTTTGTATTAGAATTTTTGTCTTGAAATTTTCTAAAGAATCTGTTAGTAAAAGGATATCAGGTGGTTTTAGTACACCCTGTATATCTTATTCATAGATAATTAAACAAAAAGAAATAGTAGCATAATAAAAAAATGGACTTTTTACGAACATTTTTACTTTAAATGGTTGTAGGAAATAGAAATACTAATAATATTTTTATAATTTTGGTAGAGACTATAAATAAATATATTAAGTATGTAAACAAAAATTTGAAATTACTCAAATCATTAATTTTGAAGATATAACTGGCAACCGGTAGAAATTATGATAGAATAATAACAATTACTACATATACAAAATTATAAATTTTTGGACTTTTTACTTATGAGAAGAAAATCCAAAAATTTGTTTTGTTTTTCTGGTACTATTTAAGCAATTCAAGAACAAACATTTCAGAACAGTTATATAATGCCCTTACATTTTAATTAATTATTTTTTAAAGAAATATGGTAGAGGAGAAATAATAAAGTAGTAACTAATAAAATTGCACAAGTTTCTACGTTGTTTTGTTTATAAGAAAAGCAATTCCAAATATCACATATTCAGATATTTTATAATAAACAAGTACTTCCTTAAATTAATTTGTACATAAATTGATTCTGTTATTATGAAAATGTTTTGCCACGTCTAGGAGTATGTAATATTTTTATATTAAAAATAAAGAAATTATTAATTAGATTATTATTAATTAGAATTTTATTAATTTATTTATTTGAATTAATTTTTTGCTGTAGTTACCATGCAGTAAGTTAAGTGACAAGGATCGAGCTGCCATTACTGCAAAGCAACTTTCCGACTTCTTGCATCTGTATAACAGAGAAACGGAGCTTTACGAAGACACCGTAGATCGGCCTCGCACTGTCCCTAATAAACTTTTCCAAAAGTTTTTAGCTGCCGCAAGGTATACATAATGTATTATACATTATGTAATTTATAAAACATAGTCCTAATTGTGGAATTACTCGAAAGGAAAACCGCTACTTTTTGGTTGATTAAAGTACAGAGTAGTATTATTTATATTTTAGGACATGGAATAGAGATGCACAAAACTTATGATGTGATATTTTGATTACATTACAGCGAACAAGACCTCGATGATGTGCTAATTCTGCAAACACGTCTTTACAAGTGTGCTCACAGTTTCTTAGGAAGAAGTGGTTTTGCTGGCAATCTGCGCGGCGCTAATCTTCTTGGATCTTTACCGCATATTACATCGCGAGTATATTCCAATGCTGCCGCAACAGAACAGTGCAGATGTAGTAGTTATTCAATCAATAGGTAATTTTATCATTTCTAATTATTATATTTAAAAAATTTATTATATTTCACGAAGAAAACGAGAGAGGGGGGAGGGGAAAAATAAGGGGAGGAAAAAAGAAATTTACACAAGAAAACTACACAATATAATTATGATCCCTAGTCTATTAGAGTTATATCTGCTTTCTCTGAAAATTGTTGAATCAAGTATTACACGAGGCTATTTTAATACAAAGTGGCAACTACTTTTATGCCCTGATAGCGTAATGAATCTTTCTTACATATAGTATCAAACGCATAATTTCAAATAAAAATATTTTGGATACGCTTTAATATTTATGATAAGTTAATATTATACATTCGTATTGTAATAGTCTTTAAGATAGCAAGACGAATTCGAAATCAATTATATCATTATTCAAGCAATAACTATTAAGTGGTGTGACAAATCAATATGTGCACTAGAGATAAATTAAATATTAATCAATTATAATATATTACCAATGTGAAGGTACATTGTTTTGTTCGGGTCAATTTTGTAATGAAAAAGCTGTTCTGTTACTTGTTTGAGAAGAAATTGTTTATGTTAAGATTCTATCGTCAATTTTGTTCGTGGTTAAGAATAGATGGCTAATTATAGCTATAGAATACTTAAAATTTGGTGGTGAGATCTCTGAAAGAAGACATTACGTCCCTAATTTGCATTTATTGTCAGAGAATTATGTTAGAGTGAAAAGGCATATGAACTTTTTTGCACTATCTATTGATAGTTTATTGACTTTTCTTTCATACCACCGCACGTGTTCGATAGTGTAGACTGGTCAAATAGCCTAAATTCTCTCCTTTATCGCCTTTATAGCCTTCATTATTAAATGTAACTCAATGCATATCTTATATTTTCAACGAACCTTGCGATAGTTGATCAAGATTTATACCTATTAATCTGTGAATTAGAAGACAAATTATGAACAGAGTTTTTTTCTTCACTCTTATCATTGATTAATAAAACAGCCGGCCTGTTTTAATGCATCTTGGATGAAATAGCTTAGCATGACTTTACTAACTTCCCTTGTCCAAAAAATAATGGAACAAGCTGTTTACTCTCCATTTTTTTAATTTTAGCTAAAACAAACTTTGTTAGGATTTCGATAAAAAAGATAACCATGTCAGCCTATGTGTATCTTCGCAGGGAGAACACATGTACCTATTAATCAATTATATCTTCTATACAATAATATAATAATTTTCACCACATATATATTGCTACATCTAGTCAATAACAAGAATAAGATTTTACATATTGACATTATTGTATAAAGGAAACTCTAAAATTATTTGATATTTAATTTAGCTATATAAGCCAATAATATTGTACTTATAAATGACAAAGTATAATATATTTAACAGCTTCAAGCTGATTAAAATATTTAACATTAATTAAGATAAAGTACATTTAAAAAATCCGTAGTTATTGTAAAAAATTATTTATTTGGTCAGTATTTTTAACAAACATTTGATGGCAAGTAGTTAGATATATCACAAAACTTAATTGACAATGTATTTCTAACATTATTATTAAGACAATATTGAACAAGAAATATACTTACTTACATTATTTATTTAACAATTTAGCAAAAAGTTATCTGTTTATATTTAAAAAATACTGACCAAATACATAAATTTATATTTTTCATAATATGAATATAATTATTTGATTAAATCACATTTCCAAATAACAAATTTACGATTTGAGCATACTTGTAATTAATTTATACACGATATCGCAAAATGTCTTACATCTATAACTTGTAAATTTTTAATTAGTGAATGCAACGCAAATGCAAATTTTTAATTGCTATTATTTAGCTTCACATAATAAAATACTATGTCTTATAAGAATTTGTTTATATCGTTAAATTACATTTGTATTTTTTCAACCACATTTTTCATCACACATACTGTGATCAATATTTAAACGAATGTTGCATATCTTGGCAACAATTGTTTAAAAAGGAAATTTATATCAATAAACCAGCTCTTCTACCAATTGTATTTTTATCTATTGTTTCAGAATTGTAATAGAAATAAGATGATGAATTTTATAATACTCTGTATAAGGAACATTATTGCTATTACATTGTTGTAATGTTTCTAAGAAATATTGTTTTAAAAATATCATATGTAATAGGCAATTCGTCTTCACTTATTTTGCGATTGCAATCTTGACAACTTCAATATTTTCATAAGAAAAGAAGGAAATCCCGGGTTTGTGATGCATTAGCCTAATTTATATCGTGCACTTGATACGTGTATCAAATAGTAACAAATAGTAAATAACTAGTAAATGAATTTAGTGATTGGTTGATCAGTTCAAATACACTATTTGATAGGCGTATCAAGTGCACGATGTGAACAAGGCCATTGTGTATCAATATGTACTGTACAGCCTTACCTATTGCCTGGTCTTACAATTAGAATTACACGAGAGAAACATGCTCATTTTGCTGAAATAAATACAGCACGTTCAGAAAATATCTGAGAATGCAAACTAAGTGGAAGTAATAAATTAAACGAGAGGTTATCTTATTGTTAGAGATAAATGAAGGAAAATCAGCTTGTTTTTTTTTATGGAAAAGTGAATAAGGATAACCGGATCAGTATATATAATAATAAATACAGATGTTATCAAGATATCTTGATTGAAAAGAATAATAGAAAAAATATTCAGTTTTGTTAACATTTGCAACATGTTATATTATTGTATGAATATTCTATATATTAGCTTTTATATATTGGCCCGCTTATCCTTATATTTCTCTTAGAGACAAATTTTATGACGGATGAATGCCATGTCATTAGAAACAATATTCTCCATCCACAAGATTCCATCGATATTTATATTCACAATTATGCACGCGGATTACGCTTCCAAAAAGTATTTATATTTATACTGGATACATTAAACTGTTTAAATGTGTAATGTGTAATGAGAATTTAGAATTACTTTTTATTTTACACGTTAATCTCAACTGCACGTTATGTGCGCAGCTTTTCATCCCTGTGATATGCGACGCCGTTTGATGGGTTATTTTAAATAATTCTCTCTGTAAAAAATACATGTATTAAAATAAATTACCAGGAAATCAATTTTCTTGTTTCCAAAATTAAATAACAAATTTACATAATTAGAAAGTGCTTTAAATTATATCTCCCTTCTCTTAGGGAGAATTAGGGAAACTTATTTTTCTGTTTCTTTTTAATTCTCATTATCAGTGTAATAATCGTGTAATAATTGGTTATTCAACTGTATGTTGAGTAAATTTTATTTTCAAAGATAACTTTCTTTAATTCCAGATTACGTCTCAAGAGGATTAAAAGAAATAGATACAAATAAACTGGACAAGAACACCGAGCGTTCTTCTCTATATGTACGTCTCACTATATCTCTAATGTGGTTTTCTCGAATGTCTTATTGTTAGCTGAACAGAAACGGAGTAGAAAGATATAGCGAGGCCTATATGTAGGAATGCTCGGTCTAGTCTAATCATGACTCTAAATGTGAGTACAAATACAATGTGCATTATTAATGTACCTTGTCTATGTACACTGTTCGTGAGCTAGCAGTTGCACTGTAGCTCCTCACATTGTTTCTTTATTTTCTTTACACACTATAATTTTATGCAACAATTACGTCAGTTTGCAGACTAAATTTAAGACGTCCTAAACTTATTTTAAAACGACATTACACAAATTTGTGTTCTAAGCAGAAATCATATAAACAAATTGCTTAACTTATTGCGAGCAATTACGTTTTTACCTTTCTTCCTCATCGTCTCTTTAAATTTGCGCCAACGCGACATACGCGTAGGACTTTTTGGATCCGACGAAGGGCTAAAGGCTACCTGTTTAAGGGGATGCTGAAGTGATTCTGCACTTTTGCACCTTTCTAACCTAAAAACTGTCAGTTCACGGAAACATTTGTGTAATATACAAATTAAATGGCTTACGTGTGTGGCTAACGACCATTGATGTTTATTATTTATTATACGTTTTAAAAGAAATATTTTATCGTAAGGCTCTCTCTCAACAGTTTAAGATAAACGTTAAGTGATTCACATTACACAAACTTTCCCTAATATTTTTGTAGTTTTCTGCAAAACTATTGAAATATTTTCATGTACCTATAAGTACGTATATTTTTTGTAGATGTTTAAGGGGATGCTGGAGTGATTCTGCACTTTCGCACCTTTTGCA